ATCGCATAATTCGCATAATTTCCAATTTACCGAATGCATAATTTGGCATTTATCGGAGCATAATCCTGGACACTCTACCCAGTATCGCCACCAAAAAAGTACGGGCACGTGATTTTTTTGTAATGCAAACCAATCAGATATCAATATCAGGTGAACGTAACAATTCAAAACAAACGTTCGCTTCGTTAAAAATCGCTTATAAGTCAAAAATTTGCATATGAAACCACCTTTGGTGCATTAACAAAAGTTTTCCTTGGGCAATTTTACTACTAAAAACCCTAACCGTAGCATAGACCCTAACCAGAACTTAAACGAATTTAAAGATTTTTGGTGTGCTAAAAATACGGTCATGTGCCCGCACTTTTTGGTGGCGATACTGGGAAGTTCTTTGATGGCTAATATTGTATAACACAAAAATATAATAATTTGCTCTCGTTCACATGTTTAATTAACGCTAAAGAATGGATTAAGTAATTTAGGCCGATAGTAATAGCGACGGTTTTGATAAGTAAGTTTCGATTATTTTTTTGAAAAACGAGTTGTAACAAGTATTAAGCTAAATTTCAAAAGGGAGTATTTCTCATTAGGCATTGCTTGTTTAGTGTGTGAACGTTCATAAGTCACACTGAGGGAGTGAGCTTCAGCGACTGGGATTCCATAGATGAATATTTGGGTATTCGAACATCCAGATATATCATTCATTTATCGATATCGGATCAGCTTTGAATTTATATCATGATCGTAAATTTTGACAAATAAACGTACCATTAAATTGCGACTTTTGAAAAATGAAATAACAAAAAAGTCACGTATGCTAACAGCTGATGGCATGAATGAAAGGTTTAGGGCGTTAGTAATAATAATACTCCCGTGATCTTGAATAGTGATCAGGATATTAATAATGCAACACAATATACCTTATTTTACGATGTACAATCTATTGCATTCGTTCGAAAATCTACAGAAAAATTTGCTTATAAAATGGACTAAAGGATAATTTTTGACTCGATTTTTTCAAAGATTAATTAAATATCATAACTTATTACTGCGCTTTTCAAATTACTGTGATCAGTGATTTTCATACATCAAGAAAACATACAAATACATGATTGGCTAAAAATTATCTTTAACCAATCACAGATATGCATTTATTCAAGATTTCTGATTCCCGGTGTATGAAAATCAATGATCATAGTAATTTGAAAAGCGCAATAATATTCAAACAGCAAAACTTATTAATAAAGTCTTTAAAAAAAATTTTATCAAAATTTCACTTTTTATATTCCAAAAAACTAATTTAGTTAAAAAATTTCACTTTATATATTTCAAAAAATCTAGCGTGTTAATAAAAAATAAGTTTATACTAATATTCAGTGACTTTATAAATTAAATTTTGAAACTTATATACTGTAAGGTATTATTTTTTGGTGCCTAATGTATTGCAATATCTATTTCATTCATTAATTTAAGTACGTATGTGAAAATTAAATTTTACAATATCACTTTGTTATCCGCTACAAGCGTAATAACTAGTTATTAATTCTGCAATTTATTTAAATTTAAAACCAATAATCTAAATCTAACGAAATTAAGGTATTAATTTTATAAAAATCTTTTGCTAATATTTTATATTCTTTAGAGCTAAGTTGATTATTACAAATATTTAAATTAATTAAACAAGTATTTTGACAGAGAGCTTCAGCCAACACTTTAATTCCTTCATAACCAAGTCGATTATTACTGAGATCCAAAGAAGTTAAAGTAGAGTTTTTGCAAAGAGCTTCTGCTAATACTTGCCCTTCTTTAAAAGTAAGTAAATTATTACTAAGATCTAAAGATGTTAAAGTAATATTTTTGCAAAGCATTTTTGCTAATTCTTTTACTCCTTCAAAAGTAAATTTATTACTGCGAAGATATAAAGAAGTTAAAACGGTGTTTTTATAAAGAGCTTCCGATAACGCTATTACTCCATTAGAAGTAATTTGATTAAGACTAAGATCCAAAGAAGTTAAAGTAATATTTTTACCAAGGGCTTCTGCTATTGATTCAGCACCCTCAGAACCAAGTTGATTATCGCAAAGATTTAAGAAAGTTAAACCAGTGTTTTTACAGAGAGCTTCTGCCAATGCCTTGACTCCTTTAAAGTTAAGTTGATTATCACTAAGGTCTAGAAAAGTTAACGCTATGTTTTTACAAAGAGCTTCTGCTATTACTTTTATCCCTTCAAATCCAATCTCATTCTGTCCAATATTTAGAGAAGTTAAAACAGAGTTATTGTAAAGAATTTCTGCAATTACTTTTATTTCATTAAAACTAAAATTATTATAGTAAAGACTCAAAGAAGTTATTGTAGTGTTTTTGCTAAGCGCTTCTGCTAATATTTTAGCACCATTAAGGCCAAGATTATTACCATCAAGATTCAAGGAAGTCAAAGTAGAATTTTCGTAAAGAGCCACTTCAAACCCAAATTGAGTATAGCTAAGATCCAAGGTAGTTAGGGTTTTATTTTTATAAAGAACTTCAGCAAATGCCTTTCTTCCTTCAAAATCAATATCGTTAAAGGAAAGACTTAATGAAGACAAAGTTGTATTCTCACAAAGAGCCTCTGCTAATATTTTCACATCCTTAGAACATAATTTACAATCATAAAGATTTAATGAAGTCAGATTGGTGTTTTTACCAAGAACATCAGCTAGTGATTTTACTTCTTCAGAACTAAGGTCAATTCGAGAGAGATCTAAAAAAGTAATTGTGGTATTTTCATAAAGATTTTCTATTGAAATTTTCACTACTTTTTTATTAACAGTTTTATCTAAATTTAAATACTTAAGTTTGTGACTTGTTCGTAATAACATTGCAATTAAGGAATATTTAGTTGTTTGAACCACATTTTCAGATCCCACATGTATTCTATAAAAATCCGTAAAAGTACGAGGTTTATGTTCCTCAGGATAAAGCCAATTTACGATACCTTTTTTTAAATTATTATTATCTATTAATGCAGTATAAGTAGTATAATCAAATAATGGAATTGAATTATTTGAAGGTAATATATTTAATGAAATTAATGGTGCTTTTTCATCATCATTCAATGACATAAGGTATATCTTTATAAGTCTTCCATCTCTGCAACGTAATAATGGTTGACTCCATAATATTGGAATAACAATTCTACACCATTGACGGTTTACAAGAAGGCACGAAAATAAAAATCTATAATAATTTCTAAGATAATTAAATATTTCAAAAAGGCATTCATTTGGTAATGCTATCATTTTTTTTTTAAAAAAAAAAAGTTTGAATAAACGATTAGAATGTATATCAATAATAATTGTATGATAACGCATTTATACTCGGAGCATAACGGAGAACACCATGTCTATATTCATAAATTTGTGTAATAATATTAAATTTTTTTACGTGTATTTAATAACACTAAAATTGACTAACGTTACAAATAAGATATGGAACGACGTGAATATCAAACAATGGTGTGATTGAGATCACAGATCACATGAACCAGTTCTGGAGTATTTTTACGATTAAATATCCTCCCTGTTTCAGTTATCATTCATGCAAATCAAGAACAATGATTTTAAATGATTTTTGAATTTTTCAAAATGTTTCAACATGTTTCAATATGGTTCAACATGTTTCAATGTGTTTTGAATTGCACACTTACATACGTACGTACATATGTACTGTACAGTACAGTACGTATATTGCGCTTACTTTCAAAACGTTTCACTGCATATTCTTAAAACATATTTCATTGAGGTAATTCCAATTTTAAGTGATACCAAATTTTCATTAGAGAATGAATGGCATAGGACATAATAATGTTACCCAATCACTTATTAGTACTTTCGTTACGTCATAATTACAGCAAACATTTTGACACCCCTATTCTTACACGATTAGAAATATTAAATGATAATTATCCCCCTTTAATATTATATTTAAATAAATAACATTATTAATTATTGATGCTTAAACTCGCAAATCAACAAAGGATACATTTCCTTTTTAGATAATGCAGGGTAGAATTGAAATTTACCGACCCTGCTTACCTAAAATGGGAATGCGCATTCTTCTTTACGAATAATATTACCATTATGCACTCTTTGCCTCGAAAGTCACCAATTATAATGGAAAATGGCGGGAAATTTTAAATTTATTATAACAATTTTTATAGTTATATCTAAAAATATAAACAACCTTTTTCACGTCATGGTTTTACTATATTTTCTAAATTATTAGAAATGGCGACATGACGACGATTGTATATAAAGTTCTAACATCTTGCTGTTTAAGAAAATGTGTATTTTCTTTATTATCATATTTTCTTTTAATGAAAAAAATTTTAGCCATGAAATTTTTTTCAATAATATTGTTTTTATTTTTGTTCGGGTTCTTTATGAATGCTCGATCGTACCGAATTTCAAGATATGATAATCATGATGGATGTGCGAGAATTTACAATGAATATGTTACAACTGATACAAATATTTTCGATTATGAAGATGTAAAAGATTGTTACAAGAGCTTTCCATATGATAATGAAATTGCTTTTAAGGTATTGTGAAATACTGTAATGAAAATGATAAATATACAAAACTTTTTTTCCTGACTACTTATTAGATACGATATTAAAATTACAGACAATCGAAACGCTAAATACTTTATTTCATGGATTCTATTCATTTCTGTATAAAGCAAATGAACTTCCACAACGTGGATTAGATTATAGGCCGATTAATATACTGGTTCAATTAAAACTTTTGCTAAAGAAACGTTACGATACTTTATTCAATTTTATGGTAATTTCATACACTTTTTATATTCTTACAATTTAATTTTTTAACTTAATTAATAATATTTTTTCACTATTATAATAGGACAGTGTTAGAAAACTTATTTTTAACTTGAAAGATGCACACACAAGTTTTGTAACGAATTGTTTTTCTTCATTCGTTTTTTATACGAATTTAACATTATATTCCATTGTTACTGACGATGGTGTACAGGTAACATAAAATTTTAATTTATACGTACAATATAAGAAAAATTTTTTACAGAGTATAATTTCATTTCATTTTTTTTTTGTATATAGAAAATCAAAATTTTCAATGACACTATTGATCCGTCTAATATTAACTGTGAGGTAACTCATATTGATGGTCGCCGGGCGATTCAAGTGATTTCTGAGTTTCCTAATTACATCTCAAAAGATCCCGGTGTGCGATTTAATGCAGCTATTGATATTAATTATCCGGGCGTAACGTTTTTCACTCGAGTTGATTTACCAGAAACACCAAGTATTACTTATACTTTAAAATGTAATAAACATCTTAAATATGTTGAAAGAAATTGGAAAGCAATTGGTATCCAACCAATTTTAAGCAATTTCAATAATTCAAAAACTTATTTTGAAAACATTTGTAAAAATACTACACTTAATTATAAACTACTTAATGATAAAATTACAGAGATTACCGAATCACACAAAAACAATTATGATATAAAATCAAGTAAAGGTGTTAATTTAATTTATGAGATTGTGGATTTTATTAGCTTTTTCAAAAAACAAGATTTCGGTGTTGTTAAAATCAAGAGTGAAAGCATTCCTCTGAATAATACTTTGGTAATAGAAATTATTAGAGGATTTCGAGCATTGGCAGATACAGGAGTTAAAAAAGTAAGCAGAGTTTGAAACTGATTTAATAATTCAAATTTATCACACACGAAATTTGGGTTACTATCGTGATAAGTTACATTAATAAATCCAGTTCCAAACTCTATTCAAAAATATTATAATTTCAAATTTATTTATATGATATTTACAGTATTTAATATTTTTATTGAAGGTCGTCCTTGATTTATCCGATAACCTTGGTGGCTTTGTTGTGACCAGCAATTTTATCAATCTACTCTTATTTCCCAATACAAAAACTTTCTTTGATATGGATATCAGAATCTCTAAACAATTGAAACTTATATTACAAGAACTAGTAAATATGCGCGAAATAGTTTCAGCGAAAGATTTAAAAAAATTTCAATATGCAGATAATCTCATTGGTAATAATGTTGTTACACGTGGTAGTGTTACGGCACACTATTCAAATAGATTTTTTTTAGGTGATCCTTATGACTATAAAGATATAATATCTCAGCACTTAATAACCCCCCTTCCTTGGAAATCAGCTGATCTTATTATTTTAACAAATAGTTTATGCGGTTCTTCTTGTGCTCTTATTGCAGAAGGTGCTGCTGAAATTAATAATGTTTCTACTGTAGCTGTTGGTGGATTTGTTGACAAACCTTTATCTTATGCTTCTTGTCAAGGTGGAATAGCTATTGATTCAATTTTTATATTTAATATTATATCTAAATTAAATTTACAAAATAATACCTTAATGCCTAAACCTTTTATTATTGGTGGAAAACTTAATATTCCTTCTTCGGAATTTTACAGTATAAAATATTCTGATAAATTATTAGAATATCTTTATAGACCTGCTGATTTTAGATTATTTTATAATGATCAAAGTTTTAGAGATCGTTCAATTTTGTGGTCACAAGCTGCTGCTTTAATCGGAAAATCTTCTAAACCTTATATAGATGAATTTAATTAATAATTTTTTTTAAAAAATGCTAATTAATTATTAAAATTTTAAT